GCGAGGCGCGGGCGGCTCCCGGGAGCTCGCTCGGCCAGGCCGGGGCCGGGCAGGGACAGCCCGTGGTCCTGCCCTTCCCGACAGTCCCGGACAGTCCCTGTGCCCCAGACTCGGGGTCCTGACCCGAGGGAGGCCCCTGCTTTCGGGGGCTCCTCACCTGCGCGGGGTTGGCCATGGTCTCAGGTTCTGCGGCAGAAGACACTGTGGAGAAGAGACGCCATTGGGCCCCGCTCGCCCGGATCCTCCCTAAGCTGCCCCCCGTTCCGGCGGGGTCCCCCCCCACACCTGGGCCTGGAGCAGGGCCCTCGGCTTTACGTCACCCTCCAGGAGGTCTCAACGAGATTGAGGGTCATTAAGGAGCATCTAAAGTTTAAAGGAACTTGATTGATCAGTCATCACCGTGGTACATATAGCAACGGTCGCCTTAAATTTTATGAATTTATGGACCTGTCTTAACTTTAATAGATGGATTTTAAGAATTATAATGTCAGCTGAAGGTCACGACGACCCCAAACTGTTCCTAGAAAAAAGACGGCTGTGACTTCTCAGCCAGTCGTGTGCCGATGTCATCCGCTGCCTGCGGCTGATGTGTGAAATAAACCTCTGGGGACGGAGCAGGCCGCGCCCAGCCCCAACCCGTGCCCCCTGGCGCCGCTCCCCTCCCCCCTTTTCGGAACCTCCGCTCCCGGACGCCGCTCCCCCCTTAAGACCCTGCCTGTTCTGCCCCCCAACAACCCGTGATCGGGGCGGTCCCCGGCCCCCGACCGGCGGGGCCAGACACTGAGAGCAGGAGCGAGGGGCCCCAGGCCCTCGGCACAGAGGGAGCCCAGGGCGGGGGCCCCTGGGTCACTCGCCCAAGCCACCAGCTTAGAACTGGAGGGTGGGGCGAGGGCAGTGTCTGGCGCTGGGCGGGGCGACCCCGCAGTTCAGGAACCTGGCGGGGAGCGAGGCCAGCAGGTGGGTTGGGGGTCAGCGCACCAGGACACAGCCTCGCCGGCCTCTCGCTCAGGAGAAGGCAAAGGGCGGCGGCAGGCGGGGTGCGGTGAGGCCACTGCCCCCCCTGCTGCTTTTCGACAGCTCAGGCGGGTTCAGGGAGACCCCAGGACCTGAGCTAGAAGAGGGTGGGACCCAGATACACGTCAGCCCGGCTCGGGGTTCTGACCCCCAGCTGGGGAGCAGTGACCTTCCTCGGATCCTGCTCACTCTGGCGGCCAGGGACAGCAGCACGAGGGGACCCCCACCCCTGGCCCCAGAGGAAACCAGATCCGCTACGCGACCCCAGATGCCTGGGGCGGGGCGGGGCGGGCGCAGCGGGCACAGGAAGCCCTGCTGTGGCCAGGCAGCAGCACCCGGCTCCCGGAAATGGCAGCCCCGGAGGCCTACAGCTGTGGGGCGCGGCGGGGCCTGGGGCTCCCGGGCTGGGGAAGTACAGGTGCAGGGGCCTGACTCTGCGGAGCGGC